GCTTCCGGTTAATCGAAAATTCGTTGAATAATTATGGATATATGTGTACATGCATAAACTAATATAAAGAGGAACTATTTCAAAAATTCTTTAAAATTGAAATGTTAACTTATCCCTTAGTAACATGGAACAGATAAAAGTATAACCATAAATTCTTGGAGGCTCTTGCGAAGACGGACAGGTCGCTTTAATAAATGAAGTAGTGTCAACAGTTAAAGAACAATAAAGATAACCCGCTTGTTATTTTTACAATTATTTATATAGATGTTTATATGGATACGTCTCAGCTCTTTTTCCACACCACCTCAGAGGTAAGAACCAAGGTGCGCTTTTTTTATAGAGGTATCCCCAGTAGGCCTAGTCCTCTCTTAAATGCATACAAATATTCTAAAAGTGTGCAAAAGTTCAATAAAAATTTATTTTATTCTGTAAAAACGTGTAATACGTTGTAAATTCTTCTGTGCCTACCTAAGTGCATGTACAATTGGATTAAATTGCTTAGCAACAGTTATCAAGTGTTTTTATATTTAGCTCTAGTACCTATCTAGATGTTGTTACTTTCTATGAATATAAGAAGACTTACCGTCGGTTTCTGTGATCAAAATCTCCATTTAAATACTTTTTATAAAGAGATTACGGTCTCGGAAAGCAATGGTTAGAGAGTAAGTATAACAAAATGTGCTGGCTGAAAACAGCGGAGCATTGTTCTAAAAAAAACTAGTTAAAAGTGGTTTCCGACGAATGAAATTGTCTCCAACAATTATTACAGTAATATGAGTAATTTTTTTTCCTGAGGCTTGCCTTTTGTATTAAAAAGATCCTCTCAGCAACCAATCAAAATTCGGATATTGTCATAGGATACGTCGAAATTATTAGGTAATGTGTCAAGAATTGTGTCACCCAGATACAAAGAAGGCGGTGCGTTTGCACGTCGATTAAAATTAGGGTTGCTAAATTTGTCTGATTGTCTACCAATTTAGCTTGTTATCAAACGTTTTATCAATCATGTTTACGTTAAATACTAACAAGAAAAAAACTTTATAGACTTTCTATCAAGATTACGTTAATAAACAAATCATCCAAGAATTTGTCTCTACCATATTAAAATAATTTAATTCTTTGCCAAATTCAAACTCTAAATATGAATTATTTAGTTATTTAGGTACTTTGGTATTTCATATTTATATGTAATTTGAAATATGTATTGTTCAGTAGTAAATATTATTAGTTATAGACAGTTTTTTATACATTATCGCATGTAGTTCGGTTTTTCCTTGATAAAATTTTAAATAAAATTATTTAAGAAAATAAGTAAAAAAATTGGCAGCCCTGAAAAATTCGCAAGGTAACGTTGTAAGAGCAGCAAGCCGCAGACTCAGAGTCTGTGGTAGACGCCTACATGCCGCTGTGTTGAGCCAACGCGGCTACTCACTACATCTGTCTTTACATTCTTATCACTTGCGTAAAATGGCAACACTATATAAATATTTAGCTCAAGTTGCAAATACCATAAAAATTATTTTACAAACGCTTAATTTTAATAAAATTTGATTAGTTTTTAAATAAAGCATAGACTTGATTGTTAATAATAGATGTCTATTAATAAACATACATAAAGACATTTTATTGATATTGGAATAGGTTATGTTTAAGATAAATCCGTCAGACTGAACAAATACCTTGTTGTATATCATGTGACATTTGTTTTATTCCTCTTTCTAGCATCACTACAATTCAAACTTATTCGCCTCACGAAGAGTTTGATCAAACATTTTTATACAACGCGCCGAAAAGTTTGTGGTGGCGGCCACTCACCCTTCGCACTTTTGAATAAATCTGCAGACCAATTACCTAACAAACTTCATTCACATACATACTCATCCATATCAAAATTCACACATACAGCCATATAGACATGAATAAAACCAATGCACATAATATTTGGCAAATTAGCGTGTTTGCTTTGTAAATTATGATAACGATTAACAATGAAAACAATAGTTATGAAGATCTGCATGATGTAAATACAAGACTGCATAGATATAGTAACAAGTTCTTATAATAACCTATTGACAAGTGACAGGCTACAATATTATCTTACTTATTTAAGTCCTACCTATTCCTTTTATATGTTGCTGACATACAAAGTGAACTGTACACTATCGTCTTTGATATGCTAAAATTATAAATAGTCAAATAGGTCACAAGATGTTCGTGGGAATTCTCTGTTGCAAATATCTTTAATTTGGCATTAAGATCAAATTCATGGCCACGAGATTCGTTCTTTGGAATTGTTTAATATAAAAATTAATTAAGTTCATAGTGTACATGGAGTATTTTTAAATTAAATGAATTACAACATTGGCAATTAAAAAAATATTGACTGCACAAATGACTCATCTACCGAATGTTGCCGACTTTTTTTTAACAGTAATACCGAGTATTTTCATGCCAGCAATAACTTTGTTTCCCTCGCAAATTAACTAGTGTATGCATTGCTTATATCGATCCTATTAATTGTTCTATTCGCGCATCGCGTCGATGTTAAAATTGACGTTATCAGAAGCGGTCGAAGCCCCTTGGCTTTAGGCAGATCACATATTTGTATGAACTTAGATAGCCTCGTTTTCGCATAATAACCGATTCTTTGCATTTTTTATTACGAACGAGCCTATGTTTAATATTCTTAACCATTTGCAATCAAACAGCTAATGTAATTGTTAAATATTTGTGAATCGAACAATTTGAGGGTGAAAAAAAACTTCAATATTTAACTCATCTAAATTTGTATTCATCGGACGTAAGCCGCGTTCGCGATAGATATCTGGACATAGTCCCATAGACAATGATACGACGCTTTGAAGTAATCATTAGCTAATTAAAATTGGCGGTGCGTGATGCGATCACGGAGTACGTTACCCACTTATAAGCTGCACACGTGCCTGTCAATGAACTCTGGGGACCATAGCGAGCAACAGTCGCTCGCACGTGGTGTCGGCGAGCGGCGACCGGTCACCGGCGACCGCCTAGACGTACTCCTACTTGCAAAACCTGGGTTCCCCTATCCACGTCCGGATGTGGCGGTTAGCTTTTAATCGTTTTTCAATACTTTTTTGCTGAACTTAGTAGGTAGTCTACGGTGTCATAGAAACTGTTCACTAGGTAATCACTACATGGATAAGTACATGTGTACCTAGGGGCATCGAACCTGGCTCTACATCTATCGCAGCCGGCACGCTGCGCACGTCGGTTAACATATAGGTGCAGATACTAACGGGCAAATATGAGGACGTTGTCTGTGCGGGCCAGGAAGTCGTCTCGCTCGGTGTGCGTGACGAAGGTTCGCGCGGGCGCAGGCGCGTCTGCCTGCACGCCCGGCGGCGGAGGGCGGCGCTCGTAGCGCTCCATCAGGTCGGCGGGGACTCGCGGCAGCTCGCGCCCCGTCGTATTGGGCGCCTGCGTGAAGCCCAACTTTGCGAGCAGGCTCTCGCGGATGACCCGCAGGCTGTGCTCGCGCGCGTTCTCGTAGGAACGGCAGGTAGCACAGGAAAGTGGCTCCTTGGGACAGGTGGGGTCCTGGGCAGTGGCGGCCGCCAGCCACGCGGCCAGCAGCAGCAGGCGCGCGGGCCTGGCCCGCGGCCCGCGCGACGCGCCCAGCGGACGCGTGGTGCGGCAGAGCGGGAGGCGGCGAGCGCGGCGAGCGATGTGCGGCCGCGGGCGGCGCGTGCGACACTGGCCGCGCGCCACTGCACGACGCGCCCGGCCCGCTGCGCCAGCGCCGCGCCCGCCGCCCCGCCCGCTCGTGCCGCCCTCAACCGCCCGCCATCCTCGCGCCCTGCGCCCTCACCCTCGCGCTCGGGAAAGCGCCGCCCGCCCAACATTTGCGCTACTACCATGATCACCGCAGCTTTACGTTTGGTGCACCAATTTCTTTATAGTTTGTTTTGATTATTAACCACTTTTAACACATTTATAAGCTCCAAATATCTAAAAAGTAATAAATAACTAAAAAATACCATTTACTATCACTTAAAAAGCTCATAAATACATTTATAGATTTTACCTGAATAGGTGAAACACAAAAGATCAACATCTATATATACAAGCAAAAAAAGTATAGAATCTCATCTAACCTAATTTATTAAATAAAAAACAAATTATTGACTTGACGTTTTCTGAAAAAGTGCGAACTAAATGAAATAGATAGAGAAGATAGTTTACAACAGATTTATTTATACACCGCAGAGTTGATACAGTCAGCAGGCCAATTTGTTTTGTAAAGACTAAATATTTTGACGGAACACTAAAGAAAAGATACTTATAGCTACGTGGGTTTCGCCGGCCACGCTAGCTTCGCTTAATTTTAGTTTGCCTTGGAGAAAAATGCAACCGCTGTTAAAGCTAAAATAATTGCACATGCTATATGAATCACTACTGCTGAGTTTCCAAATACTATTTCAATAAATTTTATATGTATAAAATAATACTGGTGTATCAGAGGCAATTTAGAGCCTAATTTATTAATCAACACATTTTTAATTTGTGGTATATTATGTATATGTAAGGAAAATTTGACAACTTTTTCATCCTTCCTTTAAACGCAGATTTACTGCCAGAGCCTTTGACGATGTTCTGCTTGCAAAAAATGACAAACTCCGCCATTTCTTACAAACAGCCAATTAAGTAGGTAGCGTAAGTTACACTAACATCATAATAGTAAAAAGCAATTAGTGGTATACAGTTGATTGATCTTCTTGTAAAACAGTCATTAAAATTCATGAACGAAATGTGTACTCAGTACAATAAATATGAATTTATCATCAGAGTATTTTCCGCTTATTATATATCAAGTTACGTTCGTACCCTAAATATATGGGGGTGGTTCAACAAAGCCTGTCACCTCTATTGTTATTGTCCTGTCGCCTCATTCTTACCAAAGGATCTTTAATTACACCTTAGAAATAAGATTTTCTTTCAGCTAATGGATCTATTCTCAGATATGTCAATCAATTTATCATATATAAGTCGAGGAAAACTATCCTCAAGGCGTAGTATTAGTTTGAGAATAGCAGAGAACAGTACTAAATACGGGTATTCTAAAAGTAATCATGGTAAGTTTCATTATTTTTTCTATTTTCTCCTACAAATTTGGCTGTTTTTCGTCACTTGCTAACAAGAAAGTAGAAAAAATATGTAACATTTGGCTTAGACATTTCAAAATGTACGAAAGTGTAAGTATATTGATAAAAGTGTCGTCTTCAACTCATATATGTTCCCATCGAGCGGATCTGAGCCTATTTAAATCATGGGTGACTAGCCCATAGGCGTATTGCGGGTTGGTTAATTAACGTCGGCATCCACTGACAAAAAAATTATGTAGAAAGTATCCAAGTGTTATTTATTTTAAATAATTTGTTAAATTTTTAATAAATAATAACATTTCTTATTTTTACAGAAAATAATATATTCCAGCGTAATCCAAATTTGCGCATTTATACTAATTACTCAATTATGTATAATCATATCAGCAGTCCAGAAAACTTCTGACATAACTGAATTTACAGTGGAAAATCAAAGAACGCATAGAAGACCGAATTTTAGAAAGAGGGTGATTGAAGAAGGAATGCCGGCCACTGTTGATGAATCCGAGACATATTCCGCTGATTATATCGACACGGAAACAAATCTGGAGGAACTACCGTCACTTATAGTCGATTATGCGAATATGATTAGAAACGATATAATTTTATTGGATAATTCCGTTGAAACAAGGTCTCGGAAGCGCGGCAACTTAAAATTTAAAAGAGACGATGTAAGTACTATTACACGTATTGAATTATTTTATTTGTTACTTAAACTTTATTTGTTTCGTACTTTCTTAGGGTTCCGTACCTCATAGGAAAAAAACGGACCCTTTTTTATCTATTCTACACTCACTACTGGTTCACTCTCATTAATAATTAACCCTAAAGGTACACGTCCACAGGCCCGCGCCGGACGTTACGCGCACACGGGCCGCAACAGATTGCTTGATGATGTCGAATAAAGCATACTGAAATGCGTTATGAGCCGTGCTCGTGGTGCGTCCGACGCGGACCAATGGACGCGTACCTTAATTGAGTATCGATATTTTTAATAAATTTCTTTTCCTTTTCAGCATGTATCCTGCAGTTGTGAACGAAAACCAAACGATGTAAGTATACACATTCACCGATACATTATAAACTTTAAATTATTTTCCTTGTGATCATTTCTAAATTTTACAGAACGAGAAAGAGACAACATTAATTGATTTAGGTGTGGAATATTTTCCGAGATACATCGAAAAGAAGTTTTGCGCCAACCTTTGCCCACCTTTGTATAGGTGTCAAGAAAGTGTATACAATGTATGTATTTTTATATACATTTATAGATTGTAGCATACAGACTTCATGTTACTAAAGCCGTGTAAAAATGGGAATTCAGCCACCGACGGTTAGCACGCTCATTGTTTGCCCTTGTGTAGACATAAGACGAATGTTAATTGCCTTACTTTAAACTAATCGGGGACGAAGAGATTTTAACGATAAATCAGTAAATCCCTTTTTTAAGTCAAGATGCATACCTGGCGTGACACGATAGCTTTTGCCTGTGGCATAGACCAATAGTAGCGACAATGAGAAACAGTAGTTTACGTCATGTTTTATTGTTTTAGCTAACGATTTTAAAGAAGAAAGGATCACCAGATAGGGAAGATGAAGTAATGATGCATTTAGACATGCCACGAGATCTCAAGAACCACTACGTCGCTATAAGGAAGCCTGTAACCATTGGATGTATATGTACCAGAGATTTCATTGAGTACCACTGAACATTCTAGAAAATTTGAATAGAAATGTTATATTGATACCGAAAGCGATAGAACTAATGTTATTGAATTAGGTTATTCAATTTTAAAACTTTGATTACTTATAAATAAATACTAAATGTATAACAATGTGTTTTACTTAAAAATTATTCAAGTGTAATTAAAAAATAAAAAAAAATGTAAAAGTAATTATGAATTATGAAAAATAAAAATCCAGGAGAAATATATTAAAATAAAAACAATATTGTTGTGTTTAAATCTATATAATTATAAATTTTAATAATTCATTTTAATTACAACAATTATCGGTCCCTTTTTACACGACACGATTTCAGACCTTAAGTTCGTTTAAGTACCACATTTGAGAGGTAACACGGTTTTAAATTTTTCTATGTACAAAATTATTTCCTCAACTAAGTCAAAGTTGATACAGATCGACGATACCGCATGAGGAAATAAATAGAATTATACTCTAACACTGACCTCTATAAATGGACTGGCTGTAAGACGTATTATTTTGTGCCTATTTCATTTGCTATTCGCGCTGGTAGTAGGGGTTTTTAGCGTGGTGTAGATTTGAACTAATAATATAAATAGAACTGTTCCGTAATAACAAATGCGTTTAAATCGGAAAGAAGAAAAAGATATTATTTTACAGCACTCGTCAATACATTTACCGTTGGTTTCTGAGAACAAAATCTCTGTAAAAACAAAGATAACATATATTAAATCGGGATTTTGGTTTCAGAAACTCATGGTTATAGAGATCATTGTAATGAAATCTAATCGTCAGTTAACAATTTCACTATAATACATTGGCGGGGTACATTTGTTAATACTCTGCGGTATGGTGCACAGTCTCGTGTGCGGCGGGTGTCGGCACATCAGTGAGATGTGGCAGTATATGCGCGATGGCGGCACTCGTCTCGTTCGCCATACCCATCTCTCGGCGCAGCACCTCCTCCGTAACTCTGTGTATCGATTTGAACTTGAAGTTCAGACCGTGCGCTTTCTGCACGTGATTGTTCAAGTTCACTTTGTAACTAAATGCAACGTTGCACACCTGAAAAATTATTATCATATCATTACTAGCTGTCGCTCGCGACTCTATCCGCGCGGAAATAAAAAAAAAACTTAATTGCTAGAATGTGTTCTTTCAGACTATGTTCTACATCTGTGCCAAATTTCGGCAGGATTCACGTAGCCGTTTTAGATACCTTCTAACATTAATACCTCCATCCTTCCATCTATCCATACATACAAACTTTGGTATACATCAGTAAGAGTAAGACAGATTTCCTATTAATAAAAATAGACAGAAATAATAAAAAATATAAGTGAATGAGTGAGGAAAAAGAGAAGTGAATGAGTACCTCACAGGTGTAAGGTCGCTCTCCTGTGTGCATCCGTTCATGGTTTTGCAGCTGGTGTTTAGCATTGAATGACATTGAACACTCACTGCACTTATACGGCTTGTAACCGGCGTGGATGCGCAAGTGACGGTTCAAATCACAACGCTGAAATAAAAATTTTCATTATAATTAAGTTCAAATGACATTATCATTTATACTGGCAATGAATCAATTTAATTTCTGAACAATATCTATCCGGACTTTATTGGAACCAGATAAATCTTTGTGTAAGTATTGACTTGAATATGGTACGAATTAACCCACCGCTATAAACTTCTTTGTGCATAAATGACAGGAGAATGGTCTTTCGCCTTTGTGGATGAGGTTATGCCTGCAAAAATAATTATATATTATAATTAAAGATACCAACTGCCTTCCTCGCAGTTATGTCAGAATAAGGGGTTTTGTTATAAGGCAGGCAATCACATGATGTAAATTGTGTATATATGGTATATAGGACAGAATAAAAAAGAAAAGAGGAGAAAAGAATAGGAAATATTTACCTGATTAAAGATTTCTGTGTGTAGAATCCAGCACCACAAATTTCACAAATATGATCTTTAATTCCAGAATGTTGTTTCATATGCAACACTAAATTACTCTTTTGTATAAAAGATTTTGTACATTGATTGCAAGAAAATTTCTTCTTTTCTGAAAAATTCACTAAATATTTACATTACTTTATACTATGAGAGTTTATGGTTCTCACCATAGTAAATACTTTTTAATGAAATTATATTCAATCACTACTTTCTATATACAATATTAAAATAATTGTTACTTAACATTGTTTAAAAATTACAATTTTTACCATCATGAGTAGCTAAATGATTTCCCAGTGTATAGGTAAGTATACCACAAACAGGGCACACAAGTTTTTCTTTCTTCTTTGCTTCCGTACTCTGAGATCTGACCACTCTTACAGTCTTTTCTCTACGAACTATTCTATTCCCATCGCTACTTCCTGAATTTTTAGATCTATAATCTGGATGAACTTTAAGTACTGTTGCATCTTTGGGCCGCTTTAGTAATATTGGTGGACCTCTGGCGCCATTCTTCATTATTGGATCTGAATAATTTTTAATGTCACTTGAACAGAAAGCTTTAAGATTTTAATGGTTAAATGGTTAGTGGAACTTGGTAATATGCGGTAATCCATCATTCATATATTAAAATGATATGAAATATAATGTGTATAATGAAGAGATATACAATATTTCCTAGATACTAATAGGCTGGATAGCATTAGTATAAGATGTTATCTTTGAAAATGTAAAAGCAACATTCTTATAAACAAAAATGACTTACAACATGTAATTGTTGTGGATCTTGACTTGCCATCTTCACTTTTACCTCCATTTTGTTCCATGTCATCTAGCGTCTGTAGTACTTTAACTTTCCTTACTACAGCTTTCTTACCTTTAAAAACTTTAATATCACATAGTTTAGGCTTTTTGAATCTATTTTTCTTACTTGTTGGTGGAACATAATCATCATCATCATCATCATTATATATATCATCTGGTACATATTCAACCTGTAATATTATATTATTACAATTTAAATATCCTATTTTTGTGCATCCTCTTCTCTGTCAATTAAAAGGATTTAACACATCTGCAGTTTCAGATGTGTATAGACTTCGTTATATAGGCAAATTCAAGTGGCTGCTTATTTGGCATGTTAAAAAAACAATAAAAAGGCTGTCCAAATAGTTCATATATTTATGTCACAACTGCCCTGCCTTACTATGCACATAATATGATATTAGATAAGTATTTCTCTTTGGTAGAATAAATATCAAGTATTAAATGTTTTCACCATCTGTATACATAAAGTTATATATTTATAATACACAGTACAGTTTCAATCATTTTGTACAGACAGCTAGGCAATTAAATTGTTACCAAGTATTATGTTTTTAAAATATATTAATACAGAATAAAAGTAGATATACTTACATCATCTTCATCTGTATTAACCTCAGCCTTAAAATTGTCATTGGTAGTTTTAGTCCAACTGATATCAACTTTTTCATTATCATTTGTTTCTCCTTTTGTTTCTTCCAATTCAGGGTCAACTTTTCTTATCACAGTATTCGCTATAACTATATCCTTACCCTCAATGGTTTCCACTGATTTTTTTGGTTCAACATTGATTTCCATTTCCCATACAGGTTCCGTTTTAATTGACAAAGGACCGATTTCACTTTTAATATCCTTAAAAGAATCAAAGGCAATCTTTTTGGTTGGTACCTTTTTAATGGCTTTAGCTAAAATGGTTCGGAGTTTTCTATCAGTTCTGCAAAATTTATATTTAATCTGTAAATTTATAGATTCTGTAAATTTTTAAGATTTAATAATGTAAATAATATTTTATACCTCTCTGCTATTGATTTTAACAGGTATGCTTTCTCCAATGAAGTACAGCATTTGTGACAAATCTTTTCTGGCAAACCATCATTAGATAGCACCTAAAACCAAATAATAAAGGAATAACAGAGACATTCAGATTTGTATGAAGATGAAAAAAAAATAATAAAAAAAAACATTGTGGTGAGTATTGTGGTAATGAGACAATGTGTAAACAGTTGCAAAAGTATAACCTACATATATACTGATATTAAGCACACATTTTTTTAACAAGTTTCTAAGTCTAAGTCAACTAAAACTGCTTCTATTATTCTGTAAGTTTTGCTTTTAAAAGAAGGTTGTAATAAATAAATTTTGACGATTGTTTAACATTTGTTTTTGCGGCTTATGCAAATGAAAAACATTAAAGTTTAATTTTTTTTTTGATATTTACCTTCACATCGGCAATTGCCGTCAACATTTCAGCATAGTTTCCAGATAATTTATATCTGAATAAAGGGCACAGGGGTTTTTTACTCGATAAACATACACGACAAGAACTTAAATTTATAGACTTCCTTGAATCATACATATTTGTAAACTAAAGGGATGATCAAAAATCCGTAACAACTGTATCAATACGATTGCCGATTATCAGAGAAGACCCGTTAAAGTGATTTCAACAAAATTGAACGAAATAGACTATGGCTGACAATTCAACTCGCTTGGTACAACATCGACATTTTCCTCCCTATAGCAAGCAGAGCTTGGCAGAGCTCAGCAAAGATGTCGATGGTTTTTTATTCGCAATCAGCAATCAGTCGCATTCTGTCACTACCTATTCGAAGTATATTTTCTAAGGGCTAAACGTAATCCATTGCTATTTTCATCGGCCTGGTAGCCAAGTGATTCATAGTTTCAAAATTAAAGAACCATTAATGAATTCTGTTCTTCAAAAAAAAGAAAGTCGTAAAAATTTTTTCTCTTCATGAAAAATATTAGGACTAGGTATTTCTTTAAATGCTCTTTGTCCAATACTCTTTGAACTAAACCAAAAACAACAAGAAATGTCAATTTAACACTGCGTTGGACGATAACAGGAACTAATTCTAACTTATTTTTGATCTAATTCTTGTTACGTTTGTATAAAAACTATAAATTAAGCCTAGTTAAAGTAGTGGGTAAAGTAATAAAAATATTAGTGACCTGTAATTCCTGCAATTGTATTATAAAATGTTATGATGGCTACCTACGAAAATTGGTCAGGTCGACGGAGAGGTAAATTTTTCTTTTACTGTAATTATGTAAAATTGGTTTTTGTCTTCTAATTGAAGTGTTCTAATGATTTCACCTCGCTTAATTTTAATGCGGACTGGACATCAATTAACTGAATTGGTATGTGAAATTAATTAATTCCAGGTAAACAAGGTGGCGATTTATATAGGTTAGACACTAAAAATAAATCACCTGAAGAAAATATAAAGGAAATTATATATGGCTTATACTTAAAGAAGCCATTTAATAATGATACTTCACCTACTAACAAGAATATACCCATGGAATTTAAGACTGGTTTACGGAATGTGCAGAAAAATGGTTCTGATTCCTATAGACTTTCTTGCTTAAATGCTTTAGTTGTATTACTATCAAAAGAAGATAGAAATAATTTAGGATTTTCAACTGAAGAATTAATGACATGGTAAGGTTTAGTGGCTTATTTCTTTTTTGCTATGTTTTTATAAGTTCAGTCTATTTTCTTCATTGTAAATATTTTTTTTGTAAAATGTACGTACTACTACTTATAAATGAAAGGAAGAGTTAGTAAGGGTTGCCTAAGTAAAACATAAAAGCCCTGACAACCAAGTTGATACCATATTGATAATATGAATATAGAAAATTACATAGTCATATTCTTTAGTTTATTATATGGCTACTTTAGTGTTATCAGAAATATCATGTTAACATTAATTAACAAGACCAAAATATATAATGTATTTTGTTAAATTAATGTAATATATCAAAATTATAAGATAGTGTTATATTAAATGTTACAAAATAAAAAAATAATAATAAAATAATAAAAATTCCTTTGGGTTTTACCGATTACAGATTTGGTCAGATTAATCATAGAAAATTTCTAGCTCTTAGTTAATATTTTTTTTGGGTTATTTTAAATTATCGTTCAACTTGGATAATATTATATTTAAATTTATAAACAGTTCTGTTGACCTTTTTAACTTAAAGACATCTTAAGAAATTGCTTGCAGAATTTATTATTTTTAAATGATATAAATGTCTTACAGCATTCGAGCTAGCCTTGTAGACGAGTCTATGGTTATCAGAGCTGCAGCATTAAGAGCTCTAAGATATTTGATCAAAACTGAGAGTGATGTAGCCACATTCAACATATTAAAGTTAACACATATTGTAACAAGGTACTTGTATTCTATACTTTTTTTGTTGTTGTAACAAAAACAAAATGTTTTTATTTTGTTTTTTAGTAATCAGTTTTGGTATGTATTTAATCCAAATGTGGTTACAGTATTTAGTAATTCAATAGGTTTAAATTAAAAACTTTCAATTTAATTTGAATAATATTTAATATTACAAATTACTGTACTAAATACTGAGACTACAGAGAAGTTAAAACTCTAACAATTTGATCACATTATAGATCTATGGATTTAATGCTACGGAATGAAGAAGAGCGAGCACAAGCTCTTCGAGTTGTCCGACGGGTTATAGCAGTGGTGGGGGCAGCAGAGCAGCCTTTACAATGTCACAGATCAGCATACATTGACCAGGGCTTGCTCAGATGTTTAACTGCAGTTGCCCGCGCTGGCAGTGCAGGTGATGGTACTGGGGATAGGCTGTCCCGCCCAGCTGTTGCCACTTTAGCTGAGATTTGTAAGTTTATAAAATAGATTTGTTTTTATTTTTTACATTTAATAGGTAATACTTATGCACTGTAGTATGTTTAAGATTGTATGTCAACTAGTAAATGCTATGTATATACATTTAAATTTAAGTATACTTTTTAAAGTGTAATTTATTTTCAGGTGTGCTAAACCCTGACCTGTTTATCTCGTGTGGAGGTGTGAATGCAGTAATCCGACAGTTGGCGGAGTGTGCAACACCACGCATGGCGGAGGCTCTCTGTGGAGTTTTACTACATACACTGAACGAGCCTTTGTCTCGGAGAGCAGCTAGAATTGATCTAACCTGCCTTAATTCACCATACTGTGATTTTCATTGTCGTCCTGCCGGAACTGATTCAAACAGGTAATGAGATTTAACCTAAATAGTAGTTGAAATATTGCATGTTATAAAATTCGGACAAACATAGTGTTAAAATTTTTGGGTAGAGATTGTGTTGTAATGCGTTAAATTTTACTATATACAGGGACGAACGTGAGATGCGATTCACTTGCAGCAGACTAGCACTATTATGTGTTCTGCGTAGTTGGCCAGGTTTGCTGCACTTTTGCAATCCTTGCAGTAAAGGTGGTCTACGCGCGTTGGTTGCTGCTCTATACTTACCACGGTTAGAGGTCCGAGTGAGTATACATTTATTTATACTATATTTTTAATTTGATTTTTATTAATATCTCAAATTGGTATAATACAGTTTACTATATTTTATGTGGTAGGAAAACTGTAATTTGTCTTATATACTTTTCATTCCTTTGCACTTCAATGGGTTGTTAAATTAAAGTATAGCAATTGTTATTATTTCTTGCATATATTGAATCCTTAAAAATATTTAAAAGCAGAAATATGTTTTCAGAAAGCTATATTGGATTTGTTGTATGAGTTAGTTGGACTACCGCAACCAGAGTGGACAGACGAGATTTCCGTGGCTTTAGATGCTGTAGATCCATCTGACTTTCAGGTATGATATTATTTTTCGTTAGTGTTCTTATATTTTGTTACGTAATATTTTTACATGTTATATTATTTTTAGGATTCTTGGCGTCTAAACGAAGGCTTCGTTGCAGCCGAAGGCACCGCTATTCTACCTCACCTCAGTGCAACCGGACCAGATATTATTGAAATTCATCTTGCTCTGTTACTTCAATGCTTCCTAGAGGTAAACAGAGCAATGAAACAAACAGAATAATGAATATTAAAATTTAATTGATAAATTTTTATAGCATTGTTAATGTTTAAGTTGTATTTAACAAAAGTAAATTTTGGTACTGTTACAGGCTGGACTTCTGGACGGATTAGCAGAAGTAATAGTGACAAGTGATACATTTATATCGGTCCGCGCTACCGTACTGTTAGGCCAACTATTGCATTTAATACACCTGTTTCTACCTCCTCAAATATGTAATCTAACACCTGCACTGCCCACTTTGATGTCACAAGCGTCTGCGGGCAAGCCTCAAGCATTAGCGGCTGTTGCTGCCTTAAGGAGACTACACTCAATGCTAGAATCTCGTCCGGCCAGCAACAGCTTGTTCCTAGATCACATCATACAGTACTGCAGTGGCGCATTCAGGATGAAAGTAGAAGATATGACGAAAAGTCGAAAGGAAAAGGACAACGCTAACATGGCGAAGCCGCACCACGAATTGTTAGTACATAAAGAGAGCAGCATCGAGTTTCTCAACGAATCCGACAACGAAAACGAACCGAAGCAGAGGCATAGCGTCGGCTCACGTGCTGACGTCACCAGTAGAAATGTTAGCGCGCTAGTGAAGAGCAAAAGTGTTAGTTCACGGACTAGTTCGGTGGGAAAAGTTTCTAAATCGGCAAAGTTCTTTAGTTTATTCGAACGAGATAGTGATAGTTGGATACGATCGAGTCTCGTCATGCAAAGCAAGGATGGCAATACATGGGACTGGGAAATTATACGAACAATATTGAAGGTAATATTGTTTGTTCCATCATCTATGGTCGTTTTAGACTTTTCTTAATTATTATCTTTATTTTAGGAAAGTGACGGTACGCAATTGTTAAATTTGAATGACAGTGGACATAAAGCTTGGGCTAGCCGTATCATCAGCTACCTCAAACCTTCATCCAACAAGTATTCACATACAGATATATCGACCACTTGCAATGGACACTCCGCTACGAGGGCTGGATGTCAATTAATTAGACATTTGCTGCAGCATAATGATGTGAGTAATAACGATAATCTAATACTTCTGTAAATTGTATACAATTTATCTTTCATTGATAGTTACAGCTTACATAAATCTGTATGTTTATTTACTGTGTATGTTGTCCAGGCTGATTCGCAGAGGATGCTGGAAGAGCTATTTACCGACGTCAGTAAACAGATAGAGGCGATAGAGACTGGCAGGAAGGCGCACGAGTGTCTCTTCAGTCCTCAGCACATGTGCAATACTATGTGTCAGATGTATTTCCTATTTATCGGACAACTCTGTCACTCTCAAGTCGGACTGAAGTTGTTCAAACAAACAGGATTATATAACAAGTAAGTTATTGGTGCTGTTATAACATCCACTTAAGTACATAACTATAGTTATTGGTTAGCCATGATTTAAACCATAGATAATCTTTTTTTGTTCATAAAATTGTCTCTTTTTCAGTCTTCTGGAACTTTCTACGAAGACTCATCACAGTTGCTACGTCAAACTAGTTATATCAAGTTTGGATTACACATTGGACTCTAGTCCTCGGGATGTTTTGGCTAAAACTTTAACTTGCACCATTCAAGCGTCCCGATTATATGCTACGCAATTTCTGAACGTACTTCTACGAGCTTCTAGAAGCTCCCGCGAACTTGTAAGGAAGAAATCTAAATTAAAGAAGAATTATACCCAAGATCAATGGAAACATATTTATAGAGATGATGGTGATAATAATGGGGTTGATATGGACACTTGGGTATTACAAATGTTGGTTGGACAAGTTAAAGATGAATCTAAGAAGGTTGTCAAATGCGCTTTATCTATATTAGAAGAAGCATATAGTGTACCGGTGAGTCCATTATTTTGTGATTTTTCTCCACTTCTGTGCTACAAGATCCGGCTATTGTAAATATTCACAGTAAAATATATGAAACATAGGTTAATTAATCAAATTTAATAAAATGTATGTTGACTTTAGTGCTGAATGTGCTCTTTTCCAGGCTTTCTTGGAGAAACTGATGACAATGAAAGACACTCTCGGTCAGAACTGCAGATTGGATAAAAATGCTGATCCATCAACTTTGGACTTAAGCTCCGTTGGTGATAGAGGATATTTGATATGGCTGGGATTAGAAGTTGCTGCAACCGTACAGACCGGCGATACGCAGTCTATAGCATTTCTTAAGAAACATTTGGATTTCTGGGCGAAATCTTACAACTACAGGTAAATACAATGAAATTGTAGAATGCAGGCCGACTGATGTTGACTGTTATTATTTATTTTTGTAGCGTCGTAATTTTCCATTTCTTAAATATCTGGTTAATTGTTATAAGTGTCCATCATTTTGCGGAAAAAAAACTAGTAAAACTTGGTATATAAGAACATACACCATCACAATACATGCTTTTTTAAGTTTATATATTTTTAATTTTAATACTTAAATTTAAAATGAAGGTCTGTGTACTCTTGTGTGTGTGCCTAGCCCTCTTAGTTATTTTGTTGTTTTTTTATTTCTGGTGATATAAAGATATATTTAATGTACAGATATGTGCGGTTAGTGGAGGCGGGTGTGCACGAGGCGCTGACTGTGTGCGAGGGCGCGCGTCGGCCGAGGGCGTCCCGACGCTGCGTGCGCACGCCGCCGCACCTGCTGGCCGCGCTCGCAGCTGTAGCACACCCCGCCCACGCCACGCACCCCGCACACGCCCCGCACCCCGTAGCGCCCGCCAACATGGCCGCCGTACAGCTGCGGGGTCTGCTGGCTGCCGCACTGCCACCCCACTGCAAGGTAAACCTAACATATTAGACTTATATGGAAAAATTAAATCATTATGCAATTGATTACTAAACAAGATAATTTTCCTTTACCTAAAAATTGCAAAATTTAGCTTATTTATGTATTTTCTTAAATTATCGTATATTTAAAATTAATTTTACAATTTGTATTGATTGTTTATTATGCCTGTAGATAATACAAGGTATGAAATGTTCAACGGAACAAGAGATAATGGAGCTGAAGGCATCACTGTGGGCGGTGGGTAACGCGGCGCTGAGCGGGGCGGGGCTGCAGCAGGTGCTGGCGGCGGGCGGGGAGGAGGCGGCGCCGCACTTCGTGTTGCGCCTCGCCAAGTACAGCCCCGTCTACTCCGTGCGCGCCACAGCTTTCTACGTGCTCGGACTATTCGCTACCACATTTGAAGGCGCAAATTTACTCTCTGATTTAGGTATAAACAATATTTGAACTAACATTTACTATAATGAATATTATAAACAAATTAATACTAGCTCTCGCCCGCGATTCCATCTGCGCGGAATTAAAAAAAACTTATTTAGTACCCTATGTGTTCTATCAGGCTACATCTATGCCAAATTTTTGCCAGATCGATGCAGATAAAAAACATCCCGCCATTCATTCATCCATCTAAACATTCACATTTATAATATTAGGAAGAAGTAAGATACTTCACAATACGATTCACATACTTTAAATTATAACAATATAGTACTATTTTTTGTAACCTTCACCATATGTCCAAATTTGGAAAATAACATTAGAAGAAACTGAAATGGTCATTTTAATATTGAGCATAAAACCTTATTTATAATAAAAGCTCAAGTGTTTTCTTATATTTTTAGGTTGGATATGCGTGAGACATACCCGTCACGATCAATTCCCTATAATACCGGACGAGAGTTACCCGCAATACGATTCAACTGGAGACGGGAATTACATCACATCACCGGAACGACGCTACAATGCATTCGATATAGAATTGAGCGAACATTCAGATCACACAGACTTAAGTACTGCCGAAAGTATACATTCAGATACGAAACATGGGATTAAAACTCTAGTAGACCACGATGTTGTTGACCATAAGACCCCTTACAATGAAAGTCGTCGTGAAGTCAGCAAAAGAAAGTCCCATACACTACCAACACAAGGATGTTCTGCTTCTCACGATAGACCAGCTTTAACTGAATCTAGAACTGTTGATATTCTAAGAGATTGTTCGAGTTACGAACGACCAGGACCACATCGGTTGCATTTTGAGAACAGATTGTTATTAGGAAGGATGAATTCTTTGGAACATCACGAGGGTAGAGTGAGGAATACTAGTGAGTCTAGCACTAGCGGCGTCAGTAGTTGTGATTCAGCTGGAGGGAAATATGCAATACCGTAAGTAGTAAGACAATATTTTCATCTTAATGACCCGTTCAAAATGTTTTTAGCTCCAATGTATGAATGTTGGTTTGTAGTTTTACCAATTTGAAATAGTAATAAAAAAAATGCGCAGGTCGTGGCGCTGCGGTAAACCGAGCAACTACATAGAACTAGTGTAAATTTTAAATTTTTTAAATATATAAATTATTATTTTTTATTTGTAATTTTAAAAATAAATGTCTTTTATATTGCAGTGACAGAATATTAACACTAAGTCCCATACCAAGTTCATCAAGTCTGTACGGTATGAAGAGTAGCAGCAGCTCACATCGGCCCCGCCTCTCTGAGTCGCAACGGAGAACTTCCACGTCAAGTAAGTCATATCTTTAATTATAGGCGGAAACGATAATGTATCAAATAGAATCCATTTGCATATTGTCATCCCTTTTATTTTCATTAGAAAAACTGAGATAGCAATGTTTTATGTATGTTTTAGGTTTTTCAACTTGTGAAGTGGCCAGTTCACCACCTACACAAATGGACATGTCAGGTTATGCTACACTCAAGACCATAAATAAACATAGAAGGTTAGTTAAGTCATTTTGATTTCTTTGATATTGTAATGAGATATTGATTACTTTTAACACTTAACAAATGTATGGTTAGAAAATTGATGATATATATATATTTTAGTATTTTAACATCCCAAATAATCAATATGTTGGATGCAATAAATTAATTTTCGTAATGTTTAGGCCGCACTTGTCGGAGAGCGCGGCGTCGGGTTCTACTGAGCTGGACGACCTGACGTGGCTGCTGACGGACACGCAGCGCCGCTCCAAGCCCTTCTCCTCCCTACGTGACAG